CTCGGCTCACCTGCCCCCAGGTAGGGCCGGGCCCGGGGTCACGGGGAGGGGAGCGGGGGGAAGCGGGAGGGGGAAGCAGGATGGGGAAGGTGCCCACGCCGCCGTGTTTCCCCCAGGCAGGAGGAGCCGTGGCTGCCGGCCCTCCCGCAGTGGAGCAACGCGCAGATCTCGGATCACTACAGCACCTGCATCAAGCTCTCCGCCGAGAACGTGAGTCCCTCACCTCCTGAGCACGGGCCGCCTCCACCGGGTCCCGGCTGCAAGGCCCAGCGGGGATTTCAAACTCCTTAAGCCACGGCTACACGGTTATTCTTGTCCCAAACCTCCTGAGACCCCGCCCTGATTGAAGCCGCGTCCAGATCTTGGCTTCTCTTGGTGTCTCCCGGGCATCTCCGTGTCTCCCTGCTTTGTTGCAGGACGTGGCACAGACCATGTCCCCTGGGTCCTGCTTTGGATACCCCCACGGGTGCTCAGGAGCCATGGTTTAGCACTGGAGTCGGTAGTTAGGTTAATTACTGGACTTAATGATCTTAAAAGGCCTTTTCCAATCAAAATGATTCTGTGATCCTGTAAACTTATTCACTGAAAGGGTTGATGAACACTGAGCCAGGCTGCCCAGGGAGGTGGTTGAAGGTCTGCAGCAGGGCCAGGGAGGGGATTGTCCCCCCTGCTCTGGTGAGATTCTCCCTTCTGGAGCACCCAACATCAGAAGGACATGAAGCTCCTGGAGAGAGGCCAGAGGAGTCACAGAGATGATCCAAGGGCTGGAGCAGCTCTGCTCTGGAGCCAGGCTGGGAGAATTGGGGTGTACAGCCTGGAGAAGAGAAGGCTCCAGGGAGACCTTAGAGCAGCTTCCAGTGCCTGAAGGGGCTCCAGGAAAGCTGGGGAGGGGCTTGGGACAAGGGCAGGGAGGGATGGGATGGGGGGGATGGATGAAAACTGGATTTGGGAAGGTTTATGTTGAACATGAGGAGGAAATTCTTTGTTGTGAGGGTGGTGAGAGCCTGGCCCAGGTTGGGCAGGGAAGCTGTGGCTGCCCCATCCCTGGGGGTGTTGAAGGGTAGGTTGTAGATGTGTTAATGTGGTGCTGAGGGATGGGGGCTCAGAAGGCTTTGACGTGTGTCGTGTGCCAGGGGATCAGTTCTGAGCTGTGCTGTGTTTCAGAAAATCACCACGAAAAATGCCTTTGGCTTACACCTGATAGACTATATGGCTGACATCCTGAAACAGAAGGACTCTGAACTGACCAACTTCAAGGTGAGAGGAACCACTGGGCACAGAGTGCTCTGTTTCTGTCTGGCATTTAGCCTCAGGTTTAGTCAATAACAATTCTCAAATGATGCTGAAGGAAACTGAGCTGGTTACTTCCACCAAAAATATCTGGTCAAGGCAGCACGGTTGCTTTTTGCAGAAGCTTTCAGTGTTGAATCCTTTTGTGCTACAGGAATTAAAGGCTGAATTCTTTCAGTTATGGGAAGCTTCTTTAAGACATATGATGCTCTGAGGTAAACAGTGGGTGTTACTACTGGTAACAAAACAAGGCTGGGAGAGCAAGGAAGTTAGTGTGGCTTCCAGGCTAACTTTGATCCAGTGTGGAGCAGAATAATAACTTGCCAGGGCCAAGACTTATTTGCTATAATAATTCCCTGGTGTTGGGAGGGAGAACTGAATTCTTGGATGGTTGAATCCTGAGCTATGGTTGGTGAAACTGAGAAAGGGGTGGGAAACAGCACACAGGTCTTCAGTGGGTGCTCCTTCAGCTTCCTGGGGTTGTCTGTGATTGGAAAAGCCACTTGGCATCTCCTGCACTTCACCTCTTTTGACTCTGGAAAATAATAATTTGGGAAAGATACTAAATATAATGTATATAATAAATATAATGTGTATAATGCATATCATTTAATAAATATAACTTGGGAAAATAGGCTGATACCAACAGGATGAACCCAAAGAAGGAGCAGTGGAGGAGAAAGGTCTCTTAGTAGATGCAAATCTGCACCTTTCTGCTTCTCTCTATTGCTTAATTTTGGCAAATCCAAATATTACTCTTTAAGATTTGCTCTTTAAGTATCACTCTAAGTATTTACTCTAAGTATTACTCTTTAAGTAATACTTATTATGTCCCCTCCAAAAGAACTGCTGAAGCAAACTGGGCTCTGCTGCCGAAGCCACATCTCGACCCACTTCTCTCCAGTGGCTTTCAGGATAAATCCTTTTCCAGTTGTTCACAGCTTTGCTCCTCATAAGCTGCAGACCTGAATTTCTGCAAGCTCTGTATCTTCTGCATCTTCTAGGTGAGTGACTCTCTCCTTTCTCACTCAGCCTGGCCCCTTTTCTCCCCCTGCCAGGTGGCAGCTGGCACGCTCGACGCCAGCGCGAAGATCTATGCCGTGCGGGTGGACGCGGTCCATGCAGATGCCTACAAAGTTCTTGGAGGCCTAGGGAAGGACTCGGCCCCTACCAAAAATGTGGACAGCCCAGGAGGAGGTGTGCCACCCACTCATTTTCTCTTTAGCTGCTCCTATGTGTGAGAGAAATGTCAGTGTATAGCACCCATGAACTTTGAAGTGCTTTGTGCATCCGAGAGAGGAGCACTAACTTTAAATTCCAAGACCTAAGAAATTCCAGATGAGTTTGCCCGGGTGTTTGAGCAGAGAGGGTGGAGATGAGGACCCAAATCTCTTTTTCAATCCTGTATTCCAGCCATCTGGCCTGTCAGATTTGAATGCAGATGAAAGGTGGCCTCATCTGAGATGTTAAAAATGAAGTGCTCCACTCTTGACTGTCCTTTACTTTGAAATGAAAACATGTAGTTAAGATAAAATAAAGTTGATAAAAAGAAATGCAGACAATAAAACACTGGTGCTTCATGCTGATAGATACTTAACTGGGTAACTTCACACCCACTGGCTTCCGTCTGTCCTACAAACTGAAATAAGAGTTGTGTTCTCCCTCCACAGGGGATTTTAGCAAGTTTTCTAACTGCAAGTTGTTCTTCTTTCCCTCTCAGAAGACAGCCCAGCCCCTGAGGCTGCCAAAAGGGTGCAGACAAAGAAGAAGCACTCGCTCAAAACCATTGAGCAGAACCTGAACAACATCAATGTGTCGGAGGCCAATCGCAGATGTGAGGTGGGTTCTGTAGCACCTGCCTTCTTGGGGAGGAAAGGAGATGTCCCCTCATCTTCATTTCTCTTGTTTTCCTGGTGGTGCATTCCTCTCTCAGGCTCTACCTCTGAATCCTGCTCTTGTAGCAGGATTGTTCCTCATTACGTTGCTTCCTCTTGCATGAGGCAACTGGGAGAGCTCCCCGATTGCTGACAAAGATGTGTGGGTTGGTGTCCCCTTGGATCTGCTCCTGCAGAGCCCTGCTTCACCCACTCTATCTACTCCACTCCTTGATTTTCTGCTTCATTCCTTACCCTGTAGGTTGATCCCATGTTCCAGAGAACAGCTGCATCCTTTGATGAATGCAGCACGGTTGGTGTTTTCCTCATGGGGCTGCGTACCCAGGGCTGCCACAGCCAGCTCCTCTTTGACTCCAAGGTTGTGCCTCTCCCTTCTGCAGAGACCCTCATGGTGCCAAACTCTGATCCTGTGACAGTCACAGATTTAAAACGTGAGTGCCAGGAACCACCAAGCAGAGGGGACCATCCAGTGCCTGAAGGGGCTCCAGGAAAGCTGGGGAAGGACTTGGGACAAGGGCAGGGAGGGATGGGGTGAGGGGGAATGGATTGAATTGGAAGAGGGAGACTGAGGTTGGAGATGAGGAGGGAATTCTTTGTTGTGAGGGTGGTGAGAGCCTGGCCCAGGTTGCCCAGGGAAGCTGTGGCTGCCCCATCCCTGGGGGTGTTGAAGGGCAGGTTGGATGGGGCTTGGGGCAGCCTGGGCTGGTGGGAGGTGTCCCTGCCCATGCAGGGGTTGGATCTAGATGATCTTGAAGGTCCCTTCCAACCCAAACCATGATTCTGTCCAGACCTTTCCATCCTTCTCACCTCCCACACGTGCTCGTTTTAGCCTCAGCCAGCTTGACCTGGGCTTTTGTTGCTGCTTGCCCACCTTGTGGCACCACCGCTCTGATTCTGCTCAGGTCTGAGGCCAGTGGCTGCAAAACCAGGACCTTTGGAGGTCTGAGATGGCTATGTGCAGCTTAACCTCTGGCAGATCTGTCATGAGCTGTGCAGCAGCTGAGATCAGTGTGCTCCAAACTAAGGCCTGAGCTGCTTAGAGTCTTTTGAGCCTTTAAATACTGCCAGACCCTGAGAAGTTTCCCAGCATTATGCCCATGAGTCAGAGCAGCAACTCCACTCACCCTTTCTGCTGAGAAATGAGCCCGACTGCTTTTGCAGCCAGCCCTACATGCAAGGAGGGTTTCCTACACGGCTTGAAGGATGATTTCATGCCTGGCACTTGTTTTAGCTGCTGGTGGCTTCACCCTGTGTCTAACCTCTCCTCCTTGTCCCCAGCCCTGCTCGCTCAGTGCATTGAAAGCCGCCCCATCTGCTCCTCGCTGGCTGGTTTCCAGTTTACAAAGTGGGATGCAGAATCCCACAATGAGGTATGTTGGTTAGTTCTGTGCTGGGTGGGATAGACCAGCTGTGCTTTGTGCTCACCTCCAGAAGCATCTCCACGAAACACCAGGCCTGCTGATATCCTGCATATTTCCCTTCTCTTTGCACAGTCAGTGTCAGCCCTGCTGGATAAGTTTAAGAAGAGTGACCAAGTGTTTGATATCAACGGGCAGATCGACAGTGAGGGGGAGGACTGTGCTCCTGCCCTGCCAGAGGATGACTTCATTTCTGACTCCCCCAGGAGTGCAGGAGCAGACAAGATTGGGGAATTCATAGAAAACCCCAGCTCCTTTGGAACAGTCAACCAGAGCAAGAGGTAAGGAGCCACTGAGCATCTGTCATTTCAGCAGCTTCTGACAGCTCCCTGGGGAATGTCTCATTTACCATGTACACGTTTCTCATCTGCCTAGAGCTTCCGTTCTGTTCAAGTAACATTTCTACCCTCCAGTTTCTCCATCTGCCCAGTTTCCAGCCTGCCCTTTGGCAAATCCACCTCTGTTTTTCCTGAAAAAAACAATCACCAAGTACTGTACAATCACCAAGTACTGTTAAATCACCAAGTACTGGTTAAAGATGCTGGCAGAGCAAAGGTCCACGTCTGTGTCTGGATATTGAATGCATGCTCAGGCCTGGTGTGTGCCAAAGGAATGATTTCACTGAGCAGCACGTGTGCTCTTTCCAGAACTGATGTGATTCCTTTTGGAGAAGGAGACATTGGGAGCATGTGCCTTCATCTTTCCATGAAACCAGGGGAATATTCCTACTTCAGTCCCCGGACTCTGTCGATGTGGGCTGGCCCAGAGCACTGGAGGTTCAAACCTCGGCAGAAATGTATGTATTGAGAGACACTCAGACACTGCAGAGGCCAGGACCTGCTGCCCGTTGGAGATGGGTGGCATCCGAGTCCTGAAGTAGGGACAGGAAATCACAGAATCATGGAATGGGTTGGAAGGGGCTTTAAAGATCATCTAGATTGAACCTGCCTGCATGGGCAGGGACCCCTCCTACCAGCCCAGGCTGCTCCAAGCCCCATCCAACCTGCCCTTCAACACCCCCAGGGATGGGGCAGCCACAGCTTCCCTGCCCAACCTGGGCCAGGCTCTCACCACCCTCACAACAAAGAATTCCCTCCTCATGTCCAACCTCCATCTCCCTCTCCCAGTTTTCATCCATCCCCCCCATCCCATCCCTCCCTGCCCTTGTCCCAAGTCCCTCCCCAGCTTTCCTGGAGCCCCTTCAGGCACTGGAAGGTGCTCTAAGGTCTCCCTGGAGCCTTCTCTTCTCCAGGCTGAACACCCCAACTCTCCCAGCCTGTCTCCAGAGCAGAGCTGCTTCAGCCCTTGGATCATCTCTGTGGCCTCCTCTGGACTCTCTCCAGGAGCTTCATGTCCTTCTTATGTTGGGTGCTCCAGAAGGGGGATCTCACCAGAGCAGAGGGGACAATCCCCTCCCTGGCCCTGCTGGTCACCTTGCTGGTGACACAGCCCAGGACATGGTTGGTTTCTGGGCTCTGGCACACAGTGCCAGCTCATGTTGAGCTTCTCATCACCCATCACCCCTAAATCTTCTCCTCAGGGCTTTTTTTTATCCATTCTCCACCCAACCTGTGCTTGGGATTGCCCCAAGCAATCTTCTTTCTATAAATAGACATGGCTCCCTTTAAAACATGGAGCTGAGAACAACACCTTTTGCTTTCCTGTAACAACGGGAAAAGTCCTTCTAGGTGGCCTGTGTTCAAGTCAGCAGTGAGCTTGTCCTCGCTCAAAGCACTTCCCTTCCTTTCTGCAGCAGACACCAACTCTGAAAAAGAGACCAAGAAAAGGAATGCAAAGAAAGTGTTTGAAATTAACTTTGATGAGGAGATTAACTTCACCACATATTTCCGTAAGACCAAGGTGGGTGCAGAGTTTCTGCTTCTTTCTGCTCTCTCTCTTTTGGCCTGTCACGGTGGCTTGGAACTGTTGTCTTTGAATGGTTCCTGTGAAACTGGCTCTGCAAACCCAACATCATGTATGTTCCTTGATGTGGGGTCTTATGACTTGAGGTACAAGAGGCTTTTACCAGCGTTGGGGTGGAGAACCAGCCTGGATTCTCCCTGGCTTCATAGAATGCCAGGTTGGAAGGAACTACAAGGAACTTCAAGGAACCCATGGAGTTTTACCCTGCCAGCCCAGGAGACCCTGAAGGTCCACCTGAGTGCACTGACTGAACCAGTGTGGATCTCCTCTTTGGAGGAATCTCAGAACTCGCCTCCTTTCAGACAAAAACCTGTGTTCAGAGCACTTACTAATATCCCAAGGAGTGGACAGCTCATGGATCATGACGTTTATTCCTTCCCCAGGCACCTGTCACTCTGGCCAAATCCATTCTGGAAAACCAGAATACAAAGAGCACCACACTTCCCACAGACTTCAACTATGACCATAACAACATTCTCCAGCTGTTCCTCAAACCAGCTATTAAGGTAAGAACCTTCTCTGAGAGCCTGCTGGGGACAATTTCATGCACAAAACCACTCCCCACCCAACACCTGGAGAACTTCAGGATGTTCCTCAGGGCTGGAGGTGGGCCAGGGTGTCTCAACACAACCCGACCCACTTGTGGATGCTGTTGTGCTTTACAAAGGGCTTTGCTAGAGGGCTGGGATGAAGAGGAGGAGGAAGAATCAGTTTGGGAAAAGGGGAAGTGATGAAGAACCAAGGCTGGAGGAAGGATTTAGAGTCTTTCCTTTCCTGGCTGTGTCTGTAGCTCTGCAGGGCAGCTGAGCCAGGAACCTCCTTGTGTCCTGAGGATGAGATCAATGAGTACGACTACAACAACCCCAATGACACCTCCAACTTCTGCCCTGCCCTGCAGGTAACTGCAACGAGCTGACTTCTTCCTCTTGCCTGTATTTGATATTGTGGGGGGGAAATAATTTAGGGGAGAAGCTGTGTCCAGAATGAATGACCAGGGGAAAGGAATTGGTGCTGCAGGTTGTGACAAGGCTGGAGGAGTCTCTGCTCTGGCCCCTTGCTCTAACAACATCAACTGAACCATCTCCCTTTGGTGTTTGCCAGTCAGTTTGCTGCCAAAATTCCATTCCAGCATTTTCCATACAGCTAAAACAAGCGGCAAGGCCATTGCTCACCTCTGCAGTCATCTCTCTACACAGTGAGGTTTGCTCCTGTTGAAGTAAATTCCTTTTAAAGCTTCAACTTCTTACCAGGCCGGTGCTGAGTGGTTGTGACAAGTCTTGGCTGGTCCCATGCTGGCAGGAGAGCCCTTGGGTCTGTGACCTTTCCATGTAGAACAATCTTCGGATGTTCTGTGCTCAAGATCTCCCTTGGGTTTAGCCTCAGCACCTTGGGGAGAGGCTGAATGGGAACATGCTCCATGGGGAAGGTGGGCAGGTGTCACCACCCTCCTGAGAGGCAGGTGCTCTTGTTCTCTCAGTGCAGGACACCTCTGGCTTCTCAGAGATGTCTCTGGGTGGCCTCACTGCTGCTTCTCTTCTCGCTCAGGCTGCAGACAGTGATGATGACAATGAACCTGTTCAGTTCCTGAGCCAGACAGGGGTGTTCAACCTCACTGCCCACCCTGAGGCTCAAGAGGCTGAGCTCAACAGGCTGAATGGCAATGCTGAGATCACAACCTACGGAGAGATGAACCTCCTTGCTGAGCCACAGAAGGTGAGGACTCATCACCCACCTGTGAGCTGCTCACGGGGCAGGTCTGGAGCAAAGTGTCCCAACACCTCAGGTGGTTAGAATCATAGACTCATAGCATGTGTGGGGTTGGAAGGGACCTTTAAAGGTCACCTTGTCCAGCCCCCCCTGTAGTGCACAGTGACCTTTTTTGACTAGATCAGAGTCCCATCAAGCCTGACCTTGAATGTCTCCAGGGATGGGGCCTCCACCACCTCTCTGGGCAACCTGTTCCAGTGCTTCAAATACCTCATAGTGAATAACTTCTTCCTGATATCCAATCTGAATCCACCCTCTCTTAGTTTAAGGCTGTTGCCCCTCATCCTACACCAGTTTCCCTGGGGCAGGATCTCCTGGGTTTACTGCTGGACACTTTGTTCCCAGACAAACACTTGTGTAAGAGAAGGGAATTAAAAATCCAAGGTTTAGTGGTAAGAAAACATTCATGTTGTTCCCAAGGAGAACCATGTTCTGATTGTTCCTGGCTGAAGATAGTGCTGCTGCCCCTGCTCAGTTCCTCTCAGCTAACCCTGGACTTTCTTTCCTCAGGTCAATAAGATTGCAATTCAATATGCAAAGACAGCCAAGAAAATGGACATGAAGAGGCTGAAGAAAAACATGTGGGAGCTCTTGACTGAAGGACAGAAGAAACTAATGGTGGCAGAGGTGAGTGGAGGTGGAGCCAGATACCTCAAGGGGTCCAAGGAATAAGAAAATGCTCTGCAGGTAACCATGCTTAACTCCTGCAGAGACAGTCCAGGTTTAGCAGCAATTCCTTTCTGGTTAGTCTTCAGTTGGTTAGGACAGGCTGGGTGTAACTTGCATTGGTTTTTAACTAAATAGATGGAAGATGAGGAGAAGGAGGAAATGGAGAAGAAGGACACGTCAGTGGTAGCAGATGAGGTGGTCTTCAGCAACATCACAAATCAACTGCTTCACAGGTAGGGAGGCCCTAGAAAGGCTGGACTGAAGATGGGGATGGACTTTAACTGACCCCTCCTATATCTATTAACAACCTGCTAATTGAACCCTGTTGGGGGAAAAAAAAAATCTCTTCTCTTGCTCTTTGGGGGAGTTTGGGTTGCATTCAGCTTCGCAGATGGGAAGGGTAGAGAAAACCAGATTGCTGGGGAAGGAGCTGATCCTTGGTGTCCTGGTCCTTGAGACATGCTCAGCCCTCTGGGTTTCAGTAGGTTCTGGCCATCCTGACCTCCTGCCCCCTCCTTTGCAGGCTGCCTTCTGTGATGGCCACCAACCTGTCTGTGCCCTTGGCCTTTGCCTGCCTCTTGCATTTGGCAAATGAGAAGGTGAGTGCAGAGTGGGGGGACATATGGGGGAAGCAGGACTGTGCTTTTCATGCACCAGGACTTCACAACCAAAGTCCCTTTTCCATGCTTACATGGAACATAAACCAGGCTGAGATGTTGGGAATGACAGCCTGTGGTTGAGCACACAGCACTTCCAGCCTAACTGCTGTCTGTCCTTCCTCATCCTCAGCTCTGGCAGCAGCAGGACCAGCATTTTGTTGTTCTAAGTTGGGTGTTGGACTCCGAAGCAACAGCTGAGAATCTTTGGTCTTGTTGGTGGTGACAGAAGGGGCTGGGGTTGCTCTGAACCTTCATAGTTTTCCTGCCAGGCCTTCAGAGTCGGAGCAAGAGTCCAACTTTCTCAAACTTAACTTTTCTTTTCCCAGAACTTAAAGCTGGAGAGCACAGAGGACCTTTCTGATGTCCTTGTGAAACAAGGCAACTGAGCCCCACATGGAGCAGAGCACCAGGGTTGACCCCCAGGACAGAGCTCAGCTTCCCAGCTCTCCTCTGCTCCCTCTGGACTCTCTCACCAGTGGCAGATTTTTCTCCTCCTGGTGCCGTTGCTGAGAAATCCCACTGTTCTCCACACCTCAGGAAGACTTAAACCTAAACATGGGACCTGTACAGATGGACCAGTTGCAGTTCCTACCATCTTCAATCCATCAGCTCTTTTCTGGGTCTGGAGCATGGAGTTCCTCCATCTCACTGGGAAGCACCAGCTAAAGACTCCTCTGCATGTCCCTGATTCCCAGTACGTGGACTGACTCTCAACTCGTTCCCAGTTCCTCCTGCAGTTCCTGCAGTTCCTCCTGTGAAATTATTTACCTTTTATACTGAGTTTAAAGATAATAAATTGCTACAGACTTTGTAGATGGGCCTTTTAGAAGGAGAAGGAGGAGTCTCCAAAAACTGGAGAGAGGTTAATAACAGCAAGACCAGGGCAGCTCCCTCAGGAAGGGTGAGCCTTGCACCACCAGTCAGGTCCCGGTCCCTCAGCACCTGAACTATGTGAGCAGAACCAACCTGGAGATGGTGGCCAGGTTCAATCAACTGTTGAGATCACCAGGGAAGTTCATGGTGCTGGAGCAGATCCAAGATCAAGCTGGGAAGTCGGGCTGCAGGTCAGGATTGGGTCCGAGGTCCTGAGGCAGGGAGACCAGCACTCCCAGCCCAGCTCAGGGAGGGACTGAAGCCCTTGAGATGAGCTTCAGTGGAGCTCCCGGGCCATGGCTGTGGGTCAAAGCCTCTGGGGAGGCTGTTCATGGTCATTAGAGCTTTTTGGCACCCTCAGACCTAAGAGGTGGGTGGGAAGAGCTCTGTGTGGAGCTAGCCCTGCCCCTGAGGGCATCCCTGTGCCAGATGTTGGGCACAGCTGGCCTGGGGGGCAGGTTGGGGGCACAAGACAAGAGGTTTTAAGTAAAAGAGTCACAAGCAGGGACTGTCTTCAGGGAAGGATGTATTTGGGATTCTTCTGAGGGGAGAGATACAACAGAAAGCACCAGCAAACACCCCCCCTGTGGCCACACCTTGGGGACACTTCCCAAGGCCTTCTGGGGCCATTTGGGGTGGCAGCCCCTGCTTCACCCCCACACCTCCCACCCCCAGGATCTGGGCCACATCCTGCCCCACTGCTCAGCCCCTGCTGCCCCTCATGTTGTCTTTTGAGACTCTCCAGCCCCTCAGGGAGCCACGGGGGGGCTGCAGGCAGAACTGCCCCTCCCCGCCT